TTTTTAAATTAGAGACAGGGTTTCACCATATTGGCCAGGCTGGTCTCGAACTCCTGACCTTGTGATCTGCCTGCCTCAGCCTCCCAGAGTGCTGGGAGTATAGGCGTGAGCCACTCTGCCCAGCCTAAAAACATTTTTTATAGTACTGTGAACCTGATTCAACTGTTATGGAGTCAGTTTGGCAGCATTTGTCTAAACATTGATTTTGTAGTTTTTCATCTAGGAATTTGTTCTAAAAATGTAACAGAAGAGTACAGGGATTTTTTGTAGATTTTTTGCTATAGCGTTGTTTGTAATAGAAAAATTGAAAGCAACCTAAATGTCCATCAGAAGAATATTGGTTAAATTATGATACATCTGGCTGGGCATGGTGGGCTCACACCAGTAATCCTAGCACTTTTCGAGATCAGCCTGGGCAACATATATCTTTTCAAAAAATGAAAACTTAGTTGGGTGTGGTGGCATGCGCTTGTAGTTCCAGCTACTCAGAAGGCTGAGGTGGGAGGATCGCTTGAGCTGGGGAGGTTAAGGCTGCAGTGAGCCGTGATTATGCCACAGCCTGGGTGACATAGTGAGACCCTGTCTCAAACAAAAGAGAAATATCATGCTACATCCATACAATGGAATACCATGCAGCCATGCAAAGATTGTGGTAGAGGCTGGTTGTGGTGGCTCATACCTGTGATCCTAACACTTTGGGAGGCTGAGGCAGAAGGATCACTTGAGCCCAGGAGTACAAGACCAGCCTGGGCAACATGATGAGACCTCACCTCTACAAAAAATAAAAAATTAGCTAGGTGTGGTGGCACATACTTGGAGTCCTAGTTATTTGGCAGGGGGAGGTTGAGACTTCAGTAAGCTGTGATTGTGCCACTGTACTACAGCCTGGGTGACAGAACAAGACCCTGTCTCAAAAACAAGAAGATTGAGACAGATATTTTTGCATGGTAATGAAGCTTGGAGATGCACAACATATAGCATTTGACCAGCCCTATTTGTGCAGAAAAGGGGCGTCTGTGTGCATGTATAAACGCATGTATGTATAGAACGTTTTCTGGGAGAATATGCAAGTAGTGGTAAGCAGTGATTGCCTCTGAGGTATGTCCAGTTTTAATGCTTTATTTTTATTTATTTATTTTTTGAGATGGAATCTCATTCTGTCACCCAGGCTGGAGTGCAGTGGTGTAGTCTTGGCTCACTGCAACCTCCACCTCCTGGGTACAAGCAATTCTTCTGTCTTAGCTTCCTGAGTAGCTGGTACTACAGGTATGTGCTACCACACCTGGCTAATTTTTGTATTTTTAGTCGAGACAGGGTTTTACCATGTTTGCCAGGCTGGTCTTGAACTCTTGACCTCAAGTGATCTGCTCACCTTGGCCTCCCAAAGTACTGGGATTATAGGCGTGAGCCACCATGCCTGGCCTCCTTGGTACTTTTCAAAATACACACCATAGAGATGCTGCTATGAAAATTTTTCCTAGCATGGGTTGCTAGGGGTAATAATCCCCTCTGGAAAGCATAATGCCACTTCCAGTCTCACGGTCAAATCCTAGAGGTAGAAGGTCCCAGAGAGGTGACCTGCTCAAGTTCTCTCAGCAGCTGAAACAGTAGCTGTCTTTGCTTTCATTCTTAGGCCTGCCCCTTTCCACTTTCCAGTGGCTTCCTATGACCCTGAGAGACCCTAACTCAACCTTGTCCATTATGGACAGCAGGAGAACAGCCCCTGGAGATAGAAGTTTGGGGAGGATATGGAAATGAAGACCAAAAGCTGCTGAATGCATGTGGGGTTCTTGGTTGATATCTTGTAACTCCTGGAATATAAGATTATTTTTGGGAGGAAGAAGGTCAAGATTTTTTCTTGCCTCTTTTATTAAAAATGATCTATTTTAGGGCCGGGTGCGGTGGCTCAGGCCTGTAATCCCAGCACTTTGGGAGGCCGAGGCGGGTGGATCACGAGGTCAAGAGATCGAGACCATCCTGGTCAACATGGTGAAACGCCGTCTCTACTAAAAATACAAAAATTAGCTGGGCGTGGTGGCGTGTGCCTGTAATCCCAGCTACTTGGGAGGCTGAGGCAGGAGAATTGCCTGAACCCAGGAGGTGGAGGTTGCAGTGAGCCGAGATCACGCCACTGCACTGCAGCCTGGGCAACAAATCGAGACTCCATCTCAAAAAAAAAAGATCTATTTTTATTTAGGGAAATTTGAAAATACAGAAAAATAATCAACTACTCAATTCTGGCTGCTATTAAGTCTTAAAAACTTCTTGTTGAAAAGTACAGGATCACGAGCAATGTCTCACTCTGTAATCCCAGAACTTTGGGAGGCTAAGGTGGGCAGGGCAGATCACCTGAGGTCAGGAGTTCAAGACCAGCCCAGCCAACATGGCAAAACCTTGTCTCTAGTAAAAATACAAATATTGAGCCAGGCGCGGTGGCTCACGCCTGTAATCCCAGCACTTTGGGAGGCCGAGGTGGGTGGATCACGAGGTCAAGAGATCGAGACCATCCTGGTCAACATGGTGAAACCCTGTCTTTAC